GGCCCGGGCGCCGTGGCTGCCGGCAGCCCTTCGGCAAGGTGGGAGCCTTGTCGAAAGACGGACGCGGCCGGCGGTGCGGCCGTCGGTGCCGCCGCCTCGTCCTGCCCGCAGCGGGGCGGCGAGGCGGCGGGCGGCGAAACGGCGAGGCGGGGCCGCTTTGGCGCGCTCGAGCGGCCTCCCTCCTCCTCCTCCTCTGCCCGCGAGGCTGCCTGCGCGCCGGCGACCGCGCGCTTGCCCTTGCCCCTCTTACTGCCCGTCGGCACGAGCTGCTCAAAGCACGTGTCGTGCAGGGGCTGGAGCAGCGCCGCCGCCGCGCCGTGCTCTCCGAGATCGGAGAGCGCGCACCTAAGGAAACATAAGGAAGCAGCGACTCGCGTCAACTCACCGATCGCCGCGCCGTGCTCGCCGAGATCAGAGAGCGCGCGCCCACGCAATGCCAAGAGCCGCGGGTCCTCCCCCTCCCCGCCGCCTCCCTCCCCGCCGCCTCCCTCTCCACGCCCCTCCGCCTCCGCCTCGCCCCCGTCGCCCGCGTCGCCCGCGTCGCCCCTGTGCTGCCGCGGCCCCGCGTGCAGCTCGAGGAGGGAGAGCACCTGTTCACACGCCAGAGGTGTGAACAGCGCCTCTCCACAGCAACGGAAAAAGCGAGAACCGTGCCTCGCGGGGCTTCCGCCGCCGCAGCGACAGACAGCACGCCGCCACCAGCGCCTCCTGCGAGCATGCGTCAACGGCGAGGGCGGACGAGTACGCCGAAGCGGCCTGGCATTCGGATCAGTGAGGAGTCATTCGTACACGCATGCATCTTGGTGTGAGGATACGCCGAGCCGGCCTCGGCGTCGCGGCGCAGCGCGCGCAAGCACTCGCCGCGCTTCAAGTGGACCAGCGGCGCGTACCTGCCCCCGAGGGATGGACCGTGAGGCATGAAGGGAGGGCGATGTGCCTAGCGATAACAAGACTCATGAGAATGAGAATCATACTAGTAGTACTAGCAGTAGTAGTAGCGACGGAGCGTCGCGTGGCTAGCGATCAGCCACGTCTCTGGGTGAGAGAGAAAAGGCCGGACACACGCGCTGGCTGCTTGCTGGTCAGCGGCCGTGCGCACCTCTCAGAGGCGAGGAGGCGGTCGTACAGCTCCAGCGCGACGAGAGGCCGGCCAACGGTGAGGTACACCTACATCAGCCACACACCCACACTCAGGAGGGAGGGAGGAGCCAGCGACTCGTTGCCAGCCTCAAACGGAGAGGGACACCTTCGCAACCTCGTACAGCAAATCGTCCACGGTAGAGAGCGGCAGCGCGCCGCCGCCGCCGCCGCCGCCGCCCTCCGCGCCGCCGCCCTCCGCGCCGCCGCCCTCCGCGCCGCCGCCCTCCGCGCCGCCGCCGCCGCCCTGCGCAGAGGCATCGCTCCGGAGCAGCGGCTGCCAGAGCCGCTCCGCCTGCTCCAGCTGGCCTACGAGCCACCCTCTCTCGACGTCGGTCACGGACTGCTTCAGCCGCAGTCGCCTCTGTCCTCCAGCTGTCGCCGGTGTACGCGCAGCAGACGCCCTCCCTGACTCGCAGATCGAGCGGCAGCTCCTTGCCACCCAGCCCGAGCGCCTCGCTCTGCCGCAGCGCCTGCACGCGCGCGATGCCGTCCGAGTACGCGCCGCGCTCGATCAGGGCCTGGAGGGGGCTTCGGCGGTGCCTCCGAAACCCGCTCCTCGGTTGCCTGCCTGCCTGCCTGCCTCTCTCTAACTCTGTCTGTCTGTCTGTCTGTCTGTCTGTCTGTCTCTCGCTCTCTCGCTCTCTCTCTCTCGCTCTCTCTCTCTCTCTCTCTCGCTCTCTCTCTCTCTCTCTCCCTCCCTCCCTCCCTCCCTCTCCCTCCCTCTCTCTCTCGCCTCGAGCAGCATGTTAGTCAGGTGGAGTGCGCAATGCGCCGCCGCCGACGCCTAATCTCCGAAGATCTCGCGATGATCTCGCGGTACTCTTGGGGTGTGGAGTGCCCCGGCTCCTCCGCCGGCTCCAGCGCGCAAGTCGTGGCCGACGCGGGCGCGGCCACCTCGCGGCCGCCGCCCTCGCCTCCTCCGCCTCCGCCTCCGCCCTCGCCGCCGCCTCCGCCCTCGCCGCCGCCTCCGCCCTCGACGCCGCCCTCGCCCTCGCTGCCGCCGCCGCCGCCGCCACCCACGCCGCCGCCCGCGCGCCGCTCGTCTGCCGCGCCGCCTGCCGCAGAGCTGGAAGCGGCGGCGGCGGGCGGAGACTCCTTGGTGAGGGAGGCGGTGACGTGCGAGAGCAGCTCAATCGCGCGGTCCGCCGCGCCCAGCTCCGTGTATGAGATCGCGAGCTGCCGAACGACATGCGCGTCGTGTGGCCGGTGCTGGAGGAGCGAGGCGAGGCCTGCGGCCGCCTTGCGGTGCTGGCCCAGCTGCGTGTGCAGCCGCGCCTGCTCCCACAGCGAGTCGACGTCGTCCGGCGTAAGCGCCAGCGTCTTGCCGAGGCAGAAGAGCGCCTGCTCCGCCTCGCCCACCTCGGTCGCGAGCACGGCGAGCCGGCGCCACTGCGCCGCGTCGCGGCGCGAGAGGTTGGCCGCCATCAGGTAGAGCTGCAGCGCCTTCTTCTTGTGCCCCTCCTCCTCGTAAATCAGGCCGAGCGTCTCGTACGGGTGCGGCAGCCGCGGGCAGAGCCGCACGACCTCGAGCAGCATCGCCATCGCCTTTTGGAAGTCGCGGTACGCGTACAGCATCGTCGCCTCGCCCAGCTGGCGCTGAACCTCGGGCGGGACCGTCACAGACATTGCCACGAGAGCACTCCTCCCCTCGTGTTGATGCGAGCAGGCGGTCGGGGAGCTTGTGAGGCGGCCTGAGAGGAAAGAGAAAGCGGACACGCCGCTCTCCATCCCTGGCGAGGTACTCCCACGCCTCTCGGGGTTTTTGTCTGGCCGAGTCTGCTGGGGCGAGCCTCGGCGAGACTGCGTCAGCTGTTCCCACAGCAGGCTGGAAGTACCTCGCCAGCTCCATCCCTCGTCTGGGCGTGTCTGTTTTCTTTCTTTCTTTCTTTTTTACTCTCTCTCCATTCTGCAACAGGAAAGAGAAAGCATCAACGCAGGAACACAACGCACTCTCTCACATTAAAATCCCTGTGTCGTGGCGGCGTGCCGTCCTCCCATCCCTCCCTTCGCGTGGCTGTTTTCTTTCTTTCTTTTACTCTCTCACATGACAAGCGATTCCACGACACGAGTGTGGTGGAAAAGAAGAGACGCGGCGAGGTAAAGAAAAAGAGAAACGACGCTCACGCTTGCTCATGGATGCCGACTCGCTCGAGCTCGCCTGGCTCCTCGACACCGAGTGCCAGGCTGTGCTTGCGCGTGTCGCAAAGCTGCTCGCCGACTGCGCCGAGGACCTCGAGGTCGACGAGGACGCCAAGCCGGAAGCAGTCCGGGGAGGCGACATCGACGAGGGCCGCGGGATGCGCTTCAGCGCCGCCCTCAACGGCCGGCGCATCGAGGCGCTGCAGGTCCAGCTAGCGCTGCCGGAGCTCGACCGGGAGGCGCCAGAGAGATAGTGGCGCGGTGAAGACAGCGTGGCCACGGAAGGACGGGGAGAGTCGGCCACACCCGGAGCAACGCAGACACAGGCAGCACCCCACCAGGCGCCGCTGCGCTGCTCCCTCGCGGCGCCGGCCCAGCGCGCCAAGCAGCTCGTGCTGCCGCAGCTGCTGGCGTGGCGGCGCTGGCTGGGCGAGGCGCTGGCCCTGCTGACGACGCCGCTGCCGGCCACGTGCGCCACTCTCTACTCGGCGGACGCGGCCGTCTCACGCCTCACACAGCTGCTCGGCAGGCCGCCACAACACAGTGAAGCAACGCCTCCCATTCGTGTTGACACGCCCCAAACGAGCGAGAGTCTGTCCTCACGCGGCTCAGGCGGCTCAGCGCTGCACTACTGATCACTTCTGAAAAGTAAGCATCGACGCTCGTGTCAGGCTGCTTGGCGTGCTGCACGCGGCGATGCCCGCGGCGCCTTCCGAGCTGTCGGCCGAGGTGACGCGGCTGATGCAGCCAGCTCTGCCAGAGGCATGGCGCCTCGACATCTCTGTCGCCGCCGAACCGCCGCGCGTCGTCGTTTCTGCGTACCCGCCGCGGGCGGCCGGCGCGGCCGGGGAGGGGTACGGCGCGCCGACGCACGCGGCGGCGGTCGCACCGAGCCTGGAGAGGGGTGTCGCGCGCGCCGAGACCGCGCAGCGGCTCTGCACGGATCTGGCGGCCAAATTGCGGCTCCATGTGGAGCTGAGGAGTGGTAGGACCCCCCCAGCGGCGCAGGGGCGCAGCGCTGTCATCTAGGGTAAAAAAGCCCTGGTCTGGCCGATTCGTTTGCTGTATCTCCCTCTATCGCCCCGTATCTCCTCGCATCTTCTCGCATCTCCCCGTATCTCCCCGTATCTCCCCTTTTCTTCTCTCTAGATCTCTCCCGGTTGCGGTATCTCCAGAGGTGTCTCCCGGTGTGTGGGTCGCCTCCCGGTATCTCCCGGTATCCTATCCCGCGCGCTGTATGAGTGTATCCCGCCATATCCCGCCATATCCCGCCATATCCCGCCATATCCCGCCATATCCCGCCATATCCCGCCATATCCCGCCATATCCCGCCATATCCCGCCGCGGCTACCGCGGCGAAAAAAATCGGCCAGACCAGGGCTGAGCCCTGGTGTCGAGGTGTCGAGGCCCGGTGTCGAGGGTGTCGAGCTGCTGTCGAGGGATAGAGGTGTCGAGGCCTGTCGAGGCCTGTCGAGGCCTGTCGAGGCCTGTCGAGGCTGAAACCATGCTTGTCCGTGTCGAGGGGTGTCGAGGGGTGTCGAGGGGTGTCGAGGGGTGTCGAGGGTGTCGAGGGTGTCGAGGGTGTCGAGCGGGTGTCGAGCGGGTGTCGAGTGTTGTCAAGAGGCGTCTGAGGTATCGAGGTGTCCAAGGTGGCAGGTGGATGCAGTTGCAGCCCATCAACATACAACAAAAGTTGGGCAGCAGTTGCAAAGCTGTTTCATCCCTTAGTTGCAGCCTCAGTTGCACCCTGTTGATGTAGCACAACCTGAGCACAACCAGTATACTCTCTGTGGACATTTGAGGACATCAAGTGCCGGGAGTCATTGCCACTGTGCACCAAGGTGCTGTGCAGGCGCAGCACCGCAGCAGCGTCGCCGCTGCAGCAGCGTCGCCCCTGCAGCGTCACCGGCGCACAAAGCGCAACTGACCACAGCGCTCATGGCACAAGGCTGGTGCCATGAGTCAGTGGACATTGCCACTGCACAAGGTGCTGTCCAGCAGCTAAGGGCTGCCAATACCCCATCGCAGCAGCGTCGCCGCCGCTGCAGCGTCGCCGTTGTCAGCATCGCCAGTGCACAAAGCGCAATGGACCACAGGTCTGCACTCATGGCACAAGCTCACTGGTGTGAGGATTCATTGCCACTGTACAAGGTGCTGTGCAGCACCTGAGGGCTACCTGGGAGTACTGCCATGGTTGCTACATCAACAGGAGTGCAAACTGAGCTGCAACTTGGAGCTAGAACCAGGGCTAGAACTTGAGAGGCTGCAACTGAGGGATGGAAGTACTGCCAGCCAAGTTTGATTGCTGCTGCAACCCTGATTTCTAACTCTGTGACTCCAATGGGTCTACGTCTCTGCTGTGTTAGGATCATCAGAGGTGTCGAGCGGTGTCGAGCGGTGTCGAGCGGTGTCGAGGGGTGTCGATGACGACGTCGGCCGGGACGGAGGATGGGCGCCAAACGACCTTGACAAGTGGCACTACCTCGCTGCTCCCAGCATGCAGTGGCGACGTGTGGGCACCGCCGCCGCCCCCTCCGCTGCCCCCCCCGCCGCCCCCTCCGCTGCCCCCGCCGCCGCCCCCCCCGCCGCCGCCCCCCCCGCCGCCCCTCCCGCCGCCCCTCCCGCCGCCCCGCCCCCTGCCGCTGCCGCCGATTCCCTCGGCCAGTTTGACGATGACAACTACGACCCGGGGCAGACGTATGATGTCGCCCCCGCCGCTGCCAGCCCTGCTGCTGGCCCCGCTGCTCCCAGCCCTGCTACCGACGGCGGCGGCGGTGGCGCTGATCCAGGAGCTGTCGACGACATGCCGGCATTTAGTGTTGTCTGGAGAGAGTTCGTCATGCTGTCTAAGCTGCTCACCGAGTGGGCACCTCGGCCAGGCTTTCAATCCTGGAACCGCGCGACCAGCAGCACCGTCATCATGAAAACTGTATTCACCGACGCCCGCTTCTACTCTTGCTGCAAAAACTACCTCTACCTCTGGACGCACATGGCTACAAAGTCAATGTGTGAGGCTGTTGTGGAGGGCATGGGCGGTGTGTGGGACCGCTGCGACCGCCAGGGCAACTGGGTCACTGCAACTGAGGAGGCTGTGATCGCGTGGAACGCGCCCCAGCCGTACCATCCCGTCGCCGTGCCCTTCATCAACCGTGCGCTCGAGAACTGGGGCGGGCTCAACTGGGAAGACCGCTTTCACCACAACGACAGGTCACGTGCACAGAGGGGCGGCATTGGAGCTTCGCTGCAGCGGGGTCTGGTCATGACGCGGAAGAAGGCAGAGACACAGCGTCTGCCAGCCGAGTGCTACGACGTCAGGCCGATGCCGCGTGGCCACAACTGACTGCAACAGACTGTCTTCATGTGTCTAGACTCTACCGTGGTGCGCTCCGCGCACATAGGTGCCAGCGCGCTCCGCGCGGTATCTAGCCAGCGCGCTCCGCGCGTGTGTGTCTAGCTAGCGCGCTCCGCGCGTGCGGCGGTGTCCAGCTAGCGCGCTCCGCGCGTGTCCGGGTAGAGCACCGGCGCGCTCCGCGCGCATGAGAATCCAGTGCTTATGCTCATAAGCACTAAAAGCTCGTTTCTGCAGCTTGGTAAATGTTATGGGCTGCTATGAGAGAGCCGTAGATGATGGCCGAGTGGTAGTGTTGACCAGCGGCTCATACCCGTAGCACATTACCGAGGGACATACACACCGACGCCCGAAGTGCCAAGAAGGACGTCATCAGTACGAAACCTCAGAAGGCCATGGGCGCCGAGAGAACATTCCCCCGAGAGGACAAAAAAGAAATCAGTAACCAGCCTCCGGCGGGTCTCAATCATAGATAGAGGCTCAAGTGTGACATAAGTGTCGCTGTCCACATAGACATACACACATACACAAAGCAGCTCTCACGACACACGGGCACCGGGTGGAGCGGCGGCGGCGGCGGCAGCAGCACGCGCGGGCGGACGGATTCGGACGGGGCGGAGCAGCGACTGCCTGGGCGGCCGCTGCTCTGTCTGCCAGAGCGCGCCGTCTGCGCAGCTCGAGCGCGGTCAGGTGCATGGAAGCGTGGCGGCGCGGGGACGCGCGGCGGCGGTGGCGAGCAGGCGAGCGGCCCGCGCGCGGCGAGGCGGACAGGTGATCGGCAGGTGGGTGATGGGCCGGAGAGTGACCGCGCCCAGCGATCGGAGGCGAGCCGGTCGTCGCTCGGCCGCAGCTGACCTCGAAGGCGTGCGGAGCGCGACTGTCGGTGTCGGGGGGCGGCCGTCATGTGGCGAGGAGGGAGGGCGACAAGTGCGCGTCGTACGGGTCGCTCTTCATCGGCCAGTCGAGCGGACGGGCGTCGGTCAAAGCAAAGAGGGCCGGTGGGGGCCGGTGAGGCCGGCGAGATCCGTTGCGAGATACGGTTCGCGCCCAAACAAGTTTGGACGCTCTGGGACGCGCCGCAAAATCAGGCAATTGGAAAGGGGGCTACTGGGGCGGCCAATTCACACCTCGCGGGACTACTTATGTTTTCGTAAACGTAGTCGTGGCCCCCCGCTACGTCGCACGAGTGCAACCGGGTAGCGGGGGGCTAAAAGGCTTCAAGTGCTCCAAGTGCTTCGCAGCCCCTCCTTGCGCAGTGACCCTCGCTAAGTGTCGCCGTTATCGGGGCACGCTATCCTGCACAGTCAGGGCAAGTGGGGGCGAGGCGCAGTCCCGCTGGTCAGATACTGGTGTGGTTCTGTCCCTAGTCTCGGAGGGGGGCAAAAAGATAAGAATATCATTTTTTTGCTATGAGAGAGCCGTCCCGGGTCCACGGTGTTATGGCCCGAGAGGCCACGCCGAACTGCTCACCGCTGGAATTTTCGCTTCGCGCGCGCGAGGTTCGGTATCGATCGCCAAATATTTTCTATTTTGCCCTCAAGTTAAATTGAATAACATCAACCTGCCTCCTGCGCTGAGCGATGGCTTCAGATTGCTCAATCGCAAGAGAACCCCCCTCTCCCGTCACTCCCCGACCCTCCCAGATTCACGCAATTTCCTTCCCGTTTTTAACTTCTGATCTCAGAGCTCAGTGGAGTCGTACGTGTGCTCGTCCTCCGTCGACAGCACATAGTTGATAAGTTGAAGCCGGAATCTTCTTGAAGTCGGAGACTCGCAGGTCAAGTGACAACAAGGCCTCTGGCTCTACTGGAACATGCACAACATGCACATGTCATGGACATGTTCATGTTCATGTTGTGCATGTCCATGTCCATGTGACATGTGCATGCGATGGAGGTGTTATGAGGTGTTATGAGGTGTTATGAGCAGCCAGTCATACAGCCAATAACACCTGTTATGGCCGCTCCCAACGTTGTCTGGGGTCAGCTTTGTCTAGTGCGTTCATCTACTCACAAAATCCCGTCACAATATTCTATACGATATCGTGGTTCTGGCTCTGTTCTCTGCGCGGGAGGGGGGATTCTACCCCAAGAGGGAAGGGAAGGTAAGCCGCAAAAACTTCTCCACACTCAACACACATCATTAAAGTACAAGTGGAGAAAAGGGGGGCGACCCTGCGTCTCTTTCTCTATTAGTCTGTATCTCTCTCTCGAGGTTCTCGAGGTGGATATCATTTGGCCGCGTTGGGTAGCGAGGATTGGCGTCGGTGACGTGATCCACGCAGGCGTGTTTTCTGACGGCCGACCGTCAGTGCACGGCCCCTTCTCCGACGGCCCCGGCTACTCGCGTAGTTCCCGGACAGGGTTCCCGGGTTCGTCGGGAGTGACCCCTTCGCCGCCCGAGACCTAGCGCGGGGGTGGGTTGGAGGGGGCTCGCTGCGAGCAAGGGCTGCGTAAGAAGCCGATCCCCGTAGTCCGCCCCACTCCTCCCCATCGGGCCGCACCTGCGGCCGCGCCTCGCGTCTATCTAAACGACACAGGATGTGGCTCATGTGGTGGGTGTTCTGTTATTTCATACAGTAACGCTACTTACTTGTATAACCAACCAGATCGATGCGAGGACGCAAGTCCACACCAAACTCGGCCATTCCAACGGCCAGCCATGGACGGCCAGACCGCTCGCTTAAGGCTGATTGGCTAGGAGACGAACGGTCTACCTCCGACGGGGCGGTCTGGATCACGGGGGATGACATCCTGCCTCCCGGCACGCCGGGAGGAGGTGGTTGCTCCGCCGCCAGACCCCCCCCCCCACCACCACCCTCGCCCAAGCGCCAAGCCCAAGGGATCTACAATGGCTGTCTTAAGGTCCGACAGCGTTCGGCACCGGGGCACCGCCTCGGTATACAAAATGCGCCTGCGGGCGGACCCTTACAGATCACAGATCACACAGGACGTTGGGCTGTAAAAAATATTCTGCAAGGTACCTTATTCTTTTAAGGATCAAGCTGGACCATCATCCATCTACAACTAACTACTCGAGTACATTCCAGAGCATATTCTAGCATATCTTGGAATATATATGGACACCGAAAGCCTCTTGGAGGGCCTACGTAGGGAACTCCCAAATAAATTGCGCAAAATCGCGCAAAACGCGCAAAATCGCTCGCTCGCAGCGGTCGGTCGGTGGAGAGAGAGAGAGGGAGGGATGCCAGAAAACACGATCATCGCGTCGCGAGAAACGAATCTGCGAGACGTGAACATGGATCGCGTCACACTAATCCTCGAAAAAGGGATTTCCCCTTGAGAACCTCTAGGACACCAATCCTCGCGCCAACGCACCACCTCGAAAAAGGTACAAAACGGGGATGCGTCCAGTCAAAAGGCACGTCCTGGAGTTTGAGGCGGGCAAGAGAGCTGGCGACCGACCGCGACCGAGGGTGGCAGGCCCACGGCTGGCGGCGATGGACGACCGAGCGGAGACGCAGCGAACCGAGGAGCGGCTTACGCAGGGAACCGATGAGCGGCTTGCGATACCCTCTTGAGCCGACGATCGCACCCATGTACGTGCTGCCGATCAGCTCTCTGCTCGAGTACGACCAGCTGCCTGGCTACGAGCAGCTGTGCGCGGATGATAGGCTCGAACTCCACGACGAGCACAAGCCAACCGCATTCATCTCGCATACTTGGCTCGGCAGTGCGCACCCGGACCCAGAGGGCTCCTTCTTTCTGCTGCTTAAGGATGTGCTCACTCGGGTGCAGCGCCGGGAGATGCAGATCCAGGCCTTCTCTGTCGGACTCGCTCCCTTTTTCGGGCTGGGGCGGAAAGAGAAGCTTGGCGCGCTCAAGGACGGCTACATCTGGCTCGACTGGTGCTGCGTCCCTCAGCGGGAGACCCGCCGGTCCGCCTCCTGGCGAGAGCAGTTCATCCGATCCATCCCATCATACGTCGCACGGTGCCACTACTTTTTTGTGTTGGCCGGGGCCTGGACGCACGAGGACGGGTCGGTGCGAGACTTGCGTGCTTGGCAAAGCAGAGGCTGGTGTCGAATGGAGCAGCTCTCAAATGCGCTGTCGCCACATCCACGGCCGTTCGTCGTGTTCGAGTCGACGAGGGCGATGAGAGCCTGGCCTCCGAGCGGCGTTTTAGGCCACAACATCTTTGCTTTCTCCGTGGGCGAGGGAGCCTTCAGTGTCGATCGTGACAGGCTTGCGCTTGGTCCTGTGATCCTTTCTCTCATCGGCCGCGCCGAGCGGCGTGCCAAAGAGAGAGGCGAGCGCTCGGCGTTTCAGTTCTTGCGCGCCATTGCCGGCCTGCTGCTGACGGGCTTGGAAGAGGCGATACCTGCGTGGAGAGTGCCAAGAGGGATGCGACCGTTCGTTCACCATCACCGGCTGGACCCGCAGTCTCTCGTGCAAACCTCGTCGCGCCGCTCTCTGTCTGCCCTGGCGTGCGCTGTCATGAGTGGCAATCACGACATCGCAGCGCAGCTACTGGCGCAAGGAGCGTCGGCCCAGGACATCATTCCACGTGGCGAGTGGATGTGGCCCTTGACGCCGTACGCGCATGCGGGTGTCTTGGAAGTCGCCGCTCTCTTCGGCTGGCCAGAGATGGTCCGTCTCCTTCTTCGGCATGGTGCAAATCCGCGCCGAAGCGTGGCCGCCGGCTTGCCCTCCGCGATCCACGCCGCAGCCTGCTGCGCTCGCACCAGAGAGTGCGTCGAGGTGCTGCTGGAGGCAGACCCTTCTCTGGGCCACCTGGGCCTCAAGCCGGTTGGGTGGAGGCCCTTTCACCTCGCGCTCTTCACGGGCAGAGCGGCCATCGTTGCCTACTTTGCCGAGTACCACCCCCACCTGATGCATCTTGAGCAGCCCGACCTCTCCCCGTCGGGGATGGTGCTCACCGCGTTCGGCGACCTAGATACGCTCCGCGTGGCCATTGGCCTGAGCCGTGATGTCGAGGACTGCCGCGATACGGTCGGCTCACCCTTACTGAGAGCCATCTTTCGCGTTGCCGACGCAATCGCGAGCGCACCCCTGCCACTTCTGAGGTGCGGCTTGGGCCAGCGTCTCTACAACTCGCGCGCGGCAATGTCGCGCTGCACCGCGCTGCACGTGGCCGCCTTCCGCGGACACCTCAGAGCGATCGACCTGCTGCTCGAGCGGGGCTCCTCTCCGTCGAGCACGAGGCACCCCTTTGGGTTCACGCCCCTGCATACTGCCGCCATCCGTGGGCACGAGAAGGCTCTCGGGCGGCTGCTTGCTGCGGGCGCCGACCCATCCATCCGGTGCTCGCGCGGGATGACGGCTCTGGACTGGGCTGACTTCTGGGGAGTGGATGCATGCACGCGGCTGCTACGCAGCGGCTCGTCGACCGAAATGTGCAGAGCCTGCCCCTGAGGACACCCGTAGAACGCTGCCAGACTTGTACTCTCTGTGTGTACTACTCCCCGTACTTTGCTTGTCTCTCTCCTTTGTCGTTGTCTCTCTCTCCTTTGTCGTTGTCTCTCTCCCCCCTTTGTCTAGTGCGTTCATCAATCAATCACTCACAAAATTCTCATCACAAATATATATCGTGGTTCCTTTCTCTGCTCTCTGCGGGAGAGGGGGGGGAGTCTACCCCAACATCACGCAGCCAGACACGTGCATTTTTTAACTGACAAGTTAGTTAGGACACGAGACGATCGAGGGGTCCCGTACCATGCGGAATCGACCCTATCCAGTGCTCAAGTGCTCAAGGACACGATGACCAGTGAGGTGTCTCTAGGAGCCGGGGGCGCGAAGATGGCGGGCGCTGATTCGAAGTTGGCCGACGTTGTGCGAACGCCTCGCGAGCATATGCGCGGCGCTGAGCTTTGCTCGGACGACGTTGCCTTTATTGAGGAGATCCACAGGAGCTCGGGCGGTTCTGTCTACGCTGGGCGTGATCGCCGCACCGGGGCGGCTGTGATTCTCAAGGTAGCACGAGCGCCCACCATTTAGGAGCGCCCACCGTTTAGGACGTGGTTGCCGACCTCGACAGCTCCCCTCCCTGTGCCTGATAGGAGCGGCTGAAACCTGAGCTGGGGTCCGGTGCATCGCTCGCGCACGAGCTTGACCTGTACGCGCGGCTCCCGCGCCATCCGCACATTGTCGAGTGCTGTGGTCACTTTTGGAAGGGCAGCGGCGCCGACGTCACTGCGGGCTGGGCATCGGATGGGAGGCGCTCGCGCGGCGGCTGCGTCAGAGGAGGAGCCAGACTCGTGCTCGTCCTTGAGGCGGCGCCACTGGGCGATCTACACGAGCTTGTGCAGTCGCGGCGCAGGCTCGGAGGCGTCCCGCTCGCCGAGCGGTTCATCTGCTCGCTCTTCACGCAGATTGCCTCTGCAGTCGTGCACTTGCACGCCCACGGTGTCGTCCATCGCGACCTCAAGTCTTTGAACGTCGTGCTCTTTGCCGAGGCGGACGCCGTAGCCACTGCCCGCGGTATCCTGAGGAGAGAGGAAGACGCCATGTGGCAAGACGTGGGCAGCTCCGGCGAGACGTACCGCTCTGTCCCCATCGGTGCCATCCGAGCCAAGATCTGCGACCTCGGCGTCTCGCGGGCCAGATCGAACGACACCGTCTACTTGCAAACCTTTTGTGGCACGCCTGCCTACCTAGCTCCCGAGATTGTGGGCTCACGGCCGTACACAGAGGGTGCGGACGTGTGGTCGCTCGGTGTGCTCCTCTACGAACTCGCCGCGTTGTCGCTGCCCTTCTTCGGGCGCAGCGTGCGCGAGGTGTCGGACCTGATTGCACGTGGGAAGTTCGCACCGCTACCCCCAACCTACTCGGCGGGGCTGGTTGGGCTGGTCAGTGCGATGCTTCAGCTCGATTTGGATCGGCGGCCCGATGCGCAGCGGGTCCTGGAGTGGGCGAAAGGGCTGGAGCTGGACCGCGCTGCTCAAGCTGCGCCGAGCGAGGCCGCACCCGCACCAGGCGACCATTCGCTCGGTGGGGAGCCGACGGCGCAGACGGCGAGAGAAGCTGTATCCTCCACAGATAGCCCCTCAACCGATGTGAACCGCCGGGACCGACACGATGGCCGCGCGCTGAGGGGCAAAGGGCGGTGTGATATGGCCGCGCAAGGCCACGGGGCGCCCCGGGAGGACGCTAAGCATAGGGAGACGGCGCCTCCTCGCGAAGGGAAGTTTGAGCGGTACCGGCGCGAGTTCGAGGAGCGGCAGCGCTGTGCGGCCGTGGAACGGAATGCCACTGAGGGCGTCACGGGTGGGACGGCGGACATTCTGGTCATGGAGGAGGCGCCTCGCGCAGAGGAGGCAGCTCGGGTTCCCCCTCCGCGTGTCGACCGCCAGAGCGAGGCTGAGCCGCCCGCAGATGCCAGTCCGGGCACGGGACAGGCGCTGGACTCCGCACGCGAGCCATCTGTTTCCGCGGTCTCCGCGAGGAGCGAGAGGCTTGTGCAGAGGCGCCGCGAGCGGGACGCATCGCTCTCGTCATGCGGCAGCTGCCAGACGCCCACTTGCGAGTCTTCGCGCCCGCCGTCGACCCCCGGGATAATGATCACCGAGAGCGCGGATAGGTGGCCAGAGCAGCAGGTCCAGGCGTACGTGCTCGCGCAACAAATGCTGGCGCTCCACGCCAACAGCCGCTGCCAGCAGAGACCCATTCGGGCCGCACCGTCCCCTCAGCAGTACTCGCATCCAGACCCCGTCTTCTCGCGACCCGGCTCCGCTCGGCCTTCTCGGCCAGGGTCCGCGCGGCCGGGGTCGGCACGAGGGCGGCTTGGGGTGGCCGGGGACGGATTCGATCTGATTAGCGGGGCGCCGCTGCGCAGGGGCAGGCGTGGAGGCAAAGAGCAGTAGAGTCAACTCCTCAACTGAGCTCTGCCTGTGGTGAACCGCACAGTGGTAGCAATGCATGTGCATGTGCATGTGCACACTTGCGCTCAAAAAGCTCAAAAGATGTGTTAAAAACTCATCGCCGCCTCCAGTCTCGCGTCCTCAAAAATAAATAAACACGTGGCACCTCCAAGGCTCCAAGTGCACCTCTTCAGGGAGATCGGAGATGGGCGTAAAAAAAAGAACAGTCACCGAGAACAGGTGGAGGTGCCTCCCCCGGCCCGCGTGCCGCGTGCCGCGGGTCTTTTTGTGTATGGCTATGGGTTCTTTGTACACAGACGGTGCTGGAGTCTTTGTACATGCGATGGACACCGTTAGTGGGGACGCAGGACGGAACCAGACTCCACGTGCACCTAACCAAAACCTCTCCCGGCTATCTTATCTGAGAGTGGCGTCAGAGGGCGAGGCCGGGCGGCAACACGAGCCCCGCCTTCTTCGCCTCGGGCTCGACCTTGACGCCGCACACCGAGGCGAGCCGCAGCGCCGCTGCCGGGTCGGAGCAGGCGAGGCACTTGCGCAGCAGCTTGGACTTCTCCGTCTGCACCTCCTGCCCCAGACCCACGAGGACGAGGTTCACCTCCGCCCAGATGTCGGCGGGCATCCACGCCTCGATGGCGCGCCGCGTCTGCTCGGGCGTCTTCGTGCCGCCCGGCCCCGCCCACCCCAGCTGATTGCAGATGCGGTGGACGTGCGTGTCGACAGAGATGCCCTCGACCTTGCCAAATGCGACCCGCAGCAGGATGAGCGCCATCTTCGGCCCCACGCCTGGCAGTGCGAGCAGCCCATCCATCGTGTCGGGCACGCGGCCGCCGTGCTGCTCCAGCAGGATGCGCGAGGTCGCCTTGAGATACTTGACCTGCTCACACCCCCACGCCGTGAAGAGGGGCCGCTCACCGGTCGCGTGCTCGCCTCGAGGGCCGGAGTAGTCGCCTTGTTGTTGTGGAAGCCGCACGCGTAGATTAGCTCGTCCAGCCTCTCGTCGGGCGTGTCCTACAGGGCGTGGCGCGGGCATGTCGCGTACGTGGAAGTGTCGTCCAGCCCCTCGCCGGGCGTGTCTCCAGCAGCCGGCGCGGCGAGAGGCCGTGAGCGCGCAGCTTCTTCATCGTCGCCGCGTTGACCGTGTCTTTGGTCTGCGACGAGAGCATCAGTGAGACGAGGGCGTCGAAGTCGCGCTCCTCCTTTGTGCTCTCGCCCGCAATAGCCTCCGTGCCCATGCTGTCCACCACCGCGGTGCGGTCGGCGCGGAGCTCAACGATGAGCTCCCACGTCGCCCGCCAGTTCGCGGGCGGCTCAAGCCGCACGTCGGTCGCCTTGCTGCGCTTGGGCGAGGCGGCCGCAGCTGTCGAGGCTGAGGCGCGCCGGCCTCGCTTCTTCTGCTCGGTCGTGGATGATGGCGCGCCGGGCTGTTTGGCGGGCTCTTCGGCCGTGAGCGGCGCCGCTGCTCGCGATTTCGACGATCTCTTCTTCTTATGCGCGTCCGTCTGCACCGCCGCAGTCGCCATGGCGCGGGCGGCTGGCGCAGCAGGCGCGAGCGGCGAGAGGGCCAGTGGCTGGACGGAGGCCGCTGCCGTGGAGAGCACGGCGCAAGCTTGCGTGATGCTGCGGCTGGCGCGCATCCCTGTGGCTCTGGGCAACGGGAAGAGGCGGAGGAGGCGCCAAAAAAAGCCCATGAGGCGGTTCCGGCTCTGAACAGCTACGACGAGTACGGGGCCATATCACGCCCCCTAGCTCGCCGGTAAATGCCTTCTGCTCCGGCTCCCTCCAGTCTCCGGGTCTGCCTTGCCCTTGTCTTCTGCCGTAATGCTTAAAATGTTACAACACAAGGCTCAAGGGCTTGCCTCGCAGCACACAAAAAGAATTCAAAGGAGGGCGCTGGCGTCGCTGCGGAGAGTGGGTCGCGAGAATCCATACAACGACGTATCTCATGAGTTCAGCCTCCGGCGCCGGCGGCGACGACCAGCGCGGCGCAGGCAGCGAGGAACGCGCCCGCGACCGGCAGGAGAGGCGGGCCCTTGTATTCGGGCGTAAGCAGGACGAGCTCGTCCACGCCTAGAGGAAGGTTGAAGGTTCATTGAGGCGTCCGTGGAAGACTTGCGAGAGTGGCGACGAAGCGTCCACCTTCGTCGAGCTGCCAGCGCAGGGCGCCACCCTCGCCCACCACCCGGACGAGCGTGTTTGGCGACACGGCGAGCGGCTCGCCGGTGGTGTCGCGCTGCACCGTGCCCGAGCCTTCCAGGACGTAGCGAAGCGAGCCGTCCTCGACGTCGGCGTCGAAGGCGCCACGCCCGCCCTGCGTGATGATGGTCGGTGGCCAGTCGCGCACCCCCATCGCCTCGGCCTCAGCCTGTGTGGGCTGCGTGAGTGCGAGTCCTGCCTCCAGAGGAGTCCTGACCGTCAGCATCCGCGGCGGCGCGGCCCTCCTCAGCGCCGTCCGCCGCTCCTCTCGCGCCCGCACCGCGGTTCGCCCGTCCTCCCGGAGCCTTGCCAGCCGTGCCTGCTCCTCTTCAGTCGGCGGCGCCGTCTCAGCAGCCGACGGCCGAGAGCCGTCGCCGCCATACATCCAGCGCTCTAGCTCGCACTCGTCGTCCTTGAAGCACTCACGCTCGCCCATCATGTCGTCAATTTCGACGGCAACAGGCGTCGCGATCCACCGCTTGTGGAGTGCCGGCCTCGCGGTGTTGGGAACCCACGTGAGAGCGGACGCGAGAGCAGCCCACGCGAGAGTGGCGAAGGCACGCATATACATGTATATTCGCGGTTTCTCACAGCGTCGGGACCCGGGTTGTTTTGTTGTTAGAGATTGTCGGAGAGAGAGTCGGTGAACCAAGAAGAGCAAAAGAATACTCCCAGTCGGCGACGGCTAGCACCACACTCCTCTTAAAATCCCTGTGGTGTGGCGGCGTGCCGTCCTCCCATCTTCCCTCCCTTGTGGTATGTTTTTTCTTTCTTTCTCGTTTCTGCGGTCAAAAACAATTTGAGAAACAAAGACTAGTGACACAATACTCACACCCCACTAGCACTGCTCACACTGCACAACATACCTACAACACTCAAGGAACGGTGAGCCGTAAGAACTTCACGGCACCACTCGCCTAGTTCCTCGCTGACACGGCTCTCTGTCTGTCTCTCGGCTGCCTCGAAGCGCTGCGCAACGTCCGACCTCGCGCCCCTTGCCCGGCCGCGTTTTGTGCCGCATGCCGACAGGGATCACTCGGCACGGCGACAGCGCGGCCTACGAGGAGAGACGCGACAACAGCAGCTCCCGACTAGTTGCACACTGCTGGGAGACGGCTGTTGGGGGGCGGGGGGGGGGGAGGTGCCTCCCCTCCAGGCATCTCGCCGGCCGCGCCGCAGAGCAGCACGAGGGGCATGAGAAACGGCTCCACCGTCCCGTCGGGCGACAGCGCCGCGGCGCCACCCGCGAGGATGCCGACACCAACAGCTTGGCCGAAATCGCCGCTGCCTCCGCCTCCGCCTCTGCCTCCGCTGCCACCGCAACCTCTGCCTCTGCCTCCGCTGCCTCCGCCGCCGCCGCTGCCTCGGCTGCCCTGTGCGCTCGCCAGCGCGCGGCGTGCCATGCGCCAATCTTCGTCGCCGGCGTGGGCGCCGAGCAGGAAGGGCGCCACGCCGAGCGCCTGAAAGTACAGCAAGCAGTAATACACTGCGACCTTCGTACACAGTCCTCCTCAGAATCTGTCCAGCATCTAGCGCCCAAGCGCCGCAAATGGCTCGCCGCCCTCGTGCCCTACCGACCCCATCAGGACCGCGCCCGCCGACACGCCCAGCAGCACCGCACCCCTCGCCACGGCTCGACGCACTGCGCTGTCCAATCCGCAGGAGCACATCGCCTGCCAACCGCGCCGCACGTCGCTCCCTGCGAGGACGATCAGCGCAGCCTCGTCCTCGAGCCGCGCCATGTCGTCCGCCACTGCCGGTGCACTCACACGCAAGTGCCGGACCTCGAGCGGCGGCAGCTTCCTGCATGCGGCCTCAAATATCTGAAAAGAGGAGAGGTCGTCGCCGTTGCAGGCGCCGAGGTAAAACACGAGGTTTCCGCGTCTGAACCGGTGGACTGATGCGGCGACGGCGGCGCCCACGGTGGATGCGAACCAGCCGCCGAAGAGTGGTCGCGAGTCGGCGGTGATGAAGAGCGAAGAAGCGTCCATGTGAGAAGCGTCCATGTGGCGGTGTACTCTGCTGGAGGAATGGTTGGGCAGGTTACTCAGGGCACGATCCCGGCGTGAACACGACACACTGACGGATCCGCTCCTGACAGTGGCACGCACCGCGGCGGGGCGTGCGACTGTCTTTGTTTGAAGTCAAAAGTCGAATCAGAGCGGTGTCGACACTGCCCTGACTTTTCCTCCCACGGACCGCCCGTCCGGCACCGCTCCGGGACGCACGCACGCCGGCGAAGCACCATCAAGCTGCTGTACGGCCCCGGCATCGCCTCCCCTGGCTTAGCTAGACTGGGAGATATTGTGCATATGGTTAGTCTCTACAATTATACACTGACACTTTACCTCCCAGACAGAGCTCGTCCCGGTCCGCCACGGCCATCCTCGGCCTCCGAAGGGCCCCCGGCCGCGGCGCGGTGCGGCGGCGTCACAAATCCGACGGCAGAGCACCGACCGGGACGCGGTCGGGCGTACGGGCGATCTGAGGTCCGACTAGGCGTATCCGTATGGATTGCCCACCCAGGGCTATCACCTGGACCCATCAACAGGCGCCTGCGGCGCCGTGGTCAGGAGGTGTTGTTCACACCTGCCCAACCATTCGTGCAGCACTAGCCGAAAGAAGAAAGAAGTGCTCACGGGATCGCGCCGCGCCGCGCCCCCACTTTTCCTCTCCTCCATCTCGAAGGGCCGTGCCGCTCCTCTCCACTGTGATGCTCCTCGCCATCATCGTCACCACGACGTGTCAGCTGCGGACGGGCGTCGCCCACGACATCGTGCGCCCGCTCTCCAACGTCGCCGAGATCCCTGCCTCGCCTGCCAGGAGCGGCGTCGAGCTCATCGCTGGGCAGGTGCGCGGGTAGAGCTCTCCACCATACTCTGCCGCGATCCCGGCTGCTGCGAGCACGGCGCCGCCCGGTGCGCGCGACATGACCCCTGCCGTTCCCGCGCACGCAGGTCGCCGAGGAGGATGTGGAGTGCCATTGCGAAAGCACGACATATGAGCGTGCGTTCGCCGCCGCCATGCAGCCCCGCCCCTCCCCGCCGTCGATTTCGTCGCCGTCCGTGCGCGCGCCGCCGTTCACTCCGCCGCCGCCGTCGCCCCCACTTCCGCCGCCCCCGTTTTGCGCCTCGCCGCCGCCGCCGTTCTCTTTCTTCCCGCCGCCCGCGCTTCCCTCAGTCGCGCGCGCGCGCGGCTCGCCTGCGTCGCCGCCCCCCCTCTCGCCGCCGCTCCCCTCACAGCCTCGTACAAGGGTGCCGCCGTCGGCGCCACAGCCTTCGCTCGCCCAAAGGGTGACCCTACCCCATCCCCCTCGGTACTGCCCCACCTTCTTCAGAACCAAATCCTCACCCCCCCCCTGCTCCCCGAATCAGGTGCCATCGCCTCGTTTCCATCGGATGAATTATGTGGAATCGTACCCCTCGGTGGTTTCCAAACCTATTCAAAAATGGACGCTTACAGAAAAATCGGCAAAAATTCAACCGTCACAACAACAATCATTGCGAGAGACGAGGAGTGACTCTTGCTCAAAGTGCACAAAGGGTGGCGCGATTTCGGTTGAAATTCGCGTCACCACTCGCCGCCTCTCGCCGCCGATCGATGACGAAGCGAACTTCGCCCGTTGGCCTGAAGGACTTGCCCCGTTGTTGAATCTCGATGCACACCTTTCGCTGCGAAATTGGGAGCTCAAACCAGGTCATGTTGCCCCATTGCGGCTTGTCGGAACACACCTTTCGGTGCGGCATTGGCAATGCCATTGCCAAACCCCATTGGGCGCTGGAAGGAAATCAAGTTCAGCTGATTTCAAACGCCAGTGCGCCACCCGATACTACTACTCAGCTTCGTCTTGGGCTAGCCATAGATACCTGCTTCTTGATGAGCGCACGGAGTACTTTGAATGGCTCTGCACCGTTCGATCACGATGCTTTGGATTGCCACCGGGCTTGGTCTCCCTCGGCGGCAACTCTGCATTTCTCAGCGGCTACGAAGCCGGCTCGGCTGTCGGATACCTCTGCGAGTCTGCGTCAAATGGGGTGCGCATGCTCGTGAAGTCACCTCAGAGTTGCGCCTTTGCCATGGTGCCAACATTGATGGTACTCACACCACTCGTCAACAACGACCCGCTGTTGGTTACACACGGCATCGCGGCATTCCACTCAGGTGTCAAGGTCGCTTCACTGAGAGCGAGTGACGGGTAATCGTGGCCGTGGCCAAGAAAATCAAAATATTAAGCTCTCTATTTGGACCACGGCGAAAAACTCAACGGTTTTGGGCGTTACAGAGCACGCTGAATCGAATGGCTTAGCTATAATTCTCGCCAGCCCTTTCCTTTCATAATTATTGACTCAAAACCCGATGATCGCGCGACTTTGGGGCCGTTATAGCTAAGCCAAAACGTTCCTCTCGAAAAATTGACTTAGGAAGCCGCAAACGGCAGCTTCTGAAAGACTCACCGGCGCTTATTCTCTTGATCTTTCAAAACCTAGGCCTGCGGCCAAAATTTTCTAAAGGCCGCTGTGCGGCCAGCGCAATGCGCAACCAGTCAGCGACCGACAGTCAGCAGCAGACTGTGACGATTGGCGGCCTCGCGCCCTCAGTCTACCTCCTCTACCAACTCCCCTGCCCAGCCCATATGCCTCATCCAAGGTGGCGCAACCACTCGCGCAGGGCGAGAGAGAAAGTCGGCGATCTGCGCCGCGCAGATGAGCTCCGCCTCGTCTGCGTCGAGGACGCCCATCGCAGGGCGGTCATACATGTAGCGTCATATGACGTACTGCATGTTGTTCATTACTTCGCAGCCAAAGTCGAGGACAATCTCACTCAGTGATGGCGAAGGCTGCACTCCCGGCCGGCGGTAGGAGAGATGAAGGCCAATGTACTTGGCAGTGTACGGTGCCTTCCTTCCGGCGCGAACAGTGCCCCGGTACGAAAGAGGAGGCGACGTCTCCCTCCAGGGTATCCACTGGCATGTAGGCGTACAGAGTGGCGCCCAGCACGACTGCGTTCCAGCTGTTCCTCGCTGGAGACCATTGGCACTTTGCACATGTACATGTTGTTGCATGTTGCATGTGCATGCGCATGTGACGCAGCTGTGAGCGCGCTGTCAGAGCGTGTTTCGACACGTCTGCATTTTGCGCAAGCTGGCCAGCGGCGAGCGCCCCCGGCCAGTAAGAGCCGCCGCCGCCACCCACGCCCGCGCCACGCTGACACCGCCGAGTGGCCTCGCCCGACTGCAGCATTGCAGCTCTCGCTCGATCGAGCCCCCAATGGGCGCGACACGCCTCGACGTCGACGAATCTCAACCTCTCATCGGGCATGGCTCACCTGGCGAGCGACGGCGCTGGCTTCGCGCAGCATTCGGTATTGACCCACGCTCGCTTGCCCTCTTCCGCAGCGCCGTGGGCTTGCTCGTGGGCCTCGACGTGCTGCTGCGCGTGACCGTCGAAGACATCCGCTTGCTTACGGACGAGATGGCGCCGCGTTCTGAGGCCCGTAGCATGCTGCAAACCCCATCGCTTTCGGTCTACATGCTGAACGGCAGCCGCGCTTTTGTGCTTACAGTCGCGGCCGTGCACGTGCTCGCTGCGTGCTGCCTGGCGGCGGGCTGGCATGCTCGAGCCAGCGCGGTGGTGGTTTGGGGGCTGCAGGTGAGCGTCGTCGATCGCCTGCCGGTCGCCAACAACGGCGGCGACCTGGTTTTGCTCGCGCTGCTGCTGTGGGCATGCCTCCTCCCCTGCGGCGAGCTCTACACGCTGCAGCATCGCGACGCAGGGCCGTCCACGCTTGGGCCGGCGAGGACCAGCTCGAGAAGGGCCTCTTCCGCGCCTCGGCCATCCCCGACCCAGGGTGCGGCAGACGCAGTGGTGCTCTCCTGGGCGTCGGCCGGCCTGGCTACCTTTGTCCCAGCGGTTTACTTTGACGCCGGGTGGAACAAGGTGCGCGGGGGCGAGTGGGCGCTGATGGGTTGGCGCCCGGACTGGTGGCCAGGAGGCGGCGGGGAGGGCGACGGCGGGCTGGGAGTCGACGCAGTTGCGCTCACGCTCTGCGATGAGCCAAATCTCGCCCTGCTCGGCCGGCTGGCGCGGGGGCCGCTGTTGCAGCGGCCCCTCGCCACGGCCCTGATGACGACGTTCGCCTTGGCACTGGAGCTGCTCGGGCCGCTGTGCCTCTTTGCCGTGCCATGCGCCACGTGGCTGGCACGAGCCCGCTTGCTGCTCGTCCCTCTCTTCCTGCTGTTCAACCTCGGCCTCGCCGCGCTGTACGACCTCCTCCTCTTCCCTGCGGTCATGGCAGTCGGTTGCCTGCCCCTCATACCCGCCGAGTTCTGGCAGCCCTGGCCACGGCTGCGTGCGGCCTGCCTGGATCGTCTCGGTGCGAGGCCGCTTCAAGTGGACTCTCGTCGTGGGCAGTGCTGCGCACTTGTCCGCGGCCGCCTTGCTCCTCCCCAGCCACCCGGCGCGTGCGGCCGACTTTTCGACAAGCTCGCTTCCGCCTTCGCGTTTGTCCTCTTTTGGAGCTGCCTGTGCGGCTTTGCGATGGACGTGATGCGGGTCGACCTTCCTGGCGGCGGTAGGATTCAGCATCTGCTGCAGCTTTTGCACGTGCGCACCGAGTGGCATATGTACGACACACAGAATGGCGACACGAATGGCTGGGAAGAGATCGAGGGCACCCTGCGCGACGGAAGCAGTGTCGACGTGCTTCGCTCGTTGAAGGCTGGCACGCCGCTCCCGAGGGCTCTCCAGCCGACGGCCCTGAGCTCTGACCCCTGGCAGCACCACACGCTCGCCGACATGTTGTTGCATCACACGAACCGGTGGCGGGAGCGCTGGTTTTACCAGCAGCACGAGGCGAGACAGCTATCGCCGGCCGTGGGTCGCCATCTGTGCGAGCGGTGGGCGCGTGCTGTGCGTCGCGAGCGCTGGACATCCGGTCAGCAGCTCGAGCGGTTCGTGTTCAATGTCACGATACTCCGAGTTGCCGGGATCAACGCCGCCGCCGGGGAGTGCCTCTTCAGCCGGGTGTCGACCGTTATTGACGCTGGCGATGAGAGGGGCGCCGGCTTTCGGTGCTCCACCGGACGAACTCGAGGTGACTCTATCAGATAGTGAGAGTGACACACACACACACACTCACTCACTCACTAAGTCCCTTGGAGCACTGAGCAGGTAGGTAGGTAGGTAGGTGAAGAACAGCCAGGCTCGGACTGGACACCAACGCGGTATGGGTGGACGCGGGACAGATGACGACGACACGCACGAGCGACACACAGACACAAACAAGCTCACAAGACACACAGCCAGAAAGAAAGAAAGAAAGAAAACGGACAACCCAAGGGAGGGATGGGAGCCAGAAAGAAAGAAAGAAACCAATGCTCTTTCTCTTTTTGGCCGCTGCTTGTCGGGGGCGCCCTTCCGCTGAAAACGGCCGGGCCCGGCCTTTGCTACTCCCCTAACACTGCGTCAGCGTGTAGCCTGTGCTATCATCGCCGATGTTTGGCCTCGAGCGTGTCGTGCGGTGGCTGCTCAAGGGCTGGTTCCGCCTCGAGCGGAAGGACGTGCGCCGCTAGAGACATCGGCTGTGTTCCCCCTGCCGCCTCCTGCCGTGCTGAGGCGCCCGCTCGCCCACAGGTTGTGGTTTCGGCCACTCGTCTCGAGCTGGCCCGGCTCGAGCTGGTGGTCGACGCGTGGAACCAGGTGCTCGGCTGGGCAGGCCTCTGCCTTGCGAGTGGCTCTGCCCGCCGGATCGCGGTGGCCATGCCGTGGGCGGCGCCCCTGCCGAGCGGCTCGCGCGTGGAGGTGCACGGGCTGCGAGCCACGCTCCAGCGCCTGCCAGTGGCCCTTCCTACGGCGGAGGACGGCCCCGCCTCCGCGGCCGCCTCTCCGGCACCTCCGCCAGCGGCGGCGATGGCGGCGGTGGCGGCGGTGGCAGGCGCAGAGGGCGGAGGAGGGGAGGGGTTGGAGGAGGGGGAGGAGGAGGTGCGTCGGATGGAGGCGAGCGGGCTGACGGCCCTCTCCTCCCTCAGCTTCCGCCTCTTGCGCGCCGTCGAGGCGAGGGACACTTCCGAGACACGTCCGAGACACGTCACGTCCGAGACACTTCCGAGACACTTCCGAGACACTTCCGAGACACCTCCGCCTCTTGCGTGCCGTGAGGCGCGCGCGAGAGAGGGGAGAGATAGGACAGAGCTCCGGACACCTTCTCTGCTCCTCACACCCTGTCGCTTTGCGAGCTGCGTCTCTTCACACCCGGGCTTCAGCTCACGCAAAGAAGCGCGTGTGACCAGGTTGGGAGAGAGATTGTGTTGTCAGGTTGGCGTCTACGACGCGAAGATTGCGCTCGAGAGGCCGTCGGGCGGCGGTGCGGCTGGCGCGCAGACTGCGAGAGAATGCGAGATCCCCTTCTCTCTTTCGACGCACTCGGGAGACGCGCAGCCGAACCGGAGCCGCACCGCGCGCGGTGCTCTGACTACACTGCTCGGGCGACACGTCTTAAGGCCGTACACTCCCGCCCCAACGTGCGCTCATGATGCAGGTGTGGCAGCCGCCGCGGCGGCGGCCGAGCAAGCAACGGAGGCGGCGGGCAGGTTCGTGGGAGGTGCGATTCCAGAGGGGGAGGGGGAGGAGGAGGAGGAGGAGGAGGAGGAGGAGGAGGAGGAGGAGGAGGAGAGGGAGGGCGAGGGCGAGGAGGGCGAGGAGGGCGAGGAGGGCGAGGAGGGCGAGGGGTTCGACGCGCTGCTCGCAGAACTCGGCGAGGAGGAGGAGGAGGAGGGGGAGGAGGCGGACGTGGAGGCGGCGGCGGCAGACGCCGCAGCGGGCGCAGCCGCTGGCGCGCAGGGCGCCTCCGACGGCGCTTCGCCCCAGAGGCTCGAGATCTCGCTGCGCTGGCTGGCGATGAGTGAGGGTGGTGCTGCGGGCGTGGCGGACGGGGCGGCGGCGGGCGCGAGTTCGTCGGCGGACGAACTGCGGCGCGTGCTTCGCTTCCGTGGTGTGCGGCTGCGGCTCAGCTCGCCGGCAGGGGGAGGCGAGCGGGCGGGCGGCAGTGTGGTGGCGCAGGTGCGCTAACCCCCTTGCCGGTGCACCTGGCCATCACTGATCCTCTCATCGAGCGGCGGCGTGGCGGCGCAGGTGGGTCGCGACGACGAGCTCGAGGACGGGCTGATCACCTTCAGCCTCTCGGCGCCAGGGCTGCTCTCCCTAGACGCCGAGATCTAGCCGAGATCAGCCGGGATCAGCCGAGATCAGCCGCTTGCCGGGGCGCTCTCTCCGACGAAGCGGTGCGCACGCCTCCGACCGGCGCTCGAGTGGGCACGCCGCTGCCGTCTCGCCTCGCCTGCCGCTGCTCTCAGCACCGCAAGGCTCTGACTGCATGAGGCCGGGGCTCTGACTGCATAAGGCCGTGCCAGCCGCCCTGACTCTGGCTGCAACCCGCCGGCCGCAGGCTGCTCTCCGAGGCGCAGGCAAGCGGCGGTCGTGCCTCCGTCGCCCGCGCCTCGCTCGAGGTGGGTCGTGGTCGCGATCTCCCCCGATCTCCCACGATCTCCCACGATCTCCCTCGATCCCCCCGATCTCCCCCGATCTCCCCCGATCTCCCCCGATCTCCCGTGCTCTCTACCACAATCTCGCGTGATCTCGCCGTGATAGTGTTCTCCGCGATCTCCCGCGTGATCTCCCGCGTGATCTCCCCCGTGATCTCCCCCGTGATCTCCCCCGCGGCAGGTGGATGCGTCTCTCCGCTCGCTCGAGGCCCTCCTCACGCCGGCCCAGCTGGTCGACATCGCCACCGTCCTCACGCCGCCGCACGCGCAGCCGGCGGCGAAGCCCCGCGCGCGCCGCGCTTGTCAGCGCGCCGGATTTCTTTTTTACGCGGCGCCCCATCTCATGTCCAGGCGGTCGAGGAGGTCGCGCTCGCGACGGACTCCGGCGAGGAGGCCGCCGCCACCGCCGCCGCCGCCGCCGCGGTCTTCTTTGAGGCGGTGGGGGGCGGCTCCGGCGGTCGTGCGGACGAGGCGGCCCACGTGCGCCCGTCAATGCGGCAGAGCGCGGCGCGCCTCGCGCGTGGTTGGTCGAGGGGGGGTGGGGGGGGGTGAGTTTGTGGCGAGGAGTGAGCGGCGGGTCGTAGGCGCGTCTCGCGCGTCTGATCGAGCAGATGCAGGGGGAGGCCGCGGCCGAGGCGGCGGCGCACGGGCCGTGGCCGGCGGCGGTGGCACGTCCGTGACGCGTCCATGGGCGCGTCCGCGACACGCGTAGGCGGCCGGCGTGGCCCTCTCCCGCAGGGAGGCGCCGCCCGCTCCTGCTGCCGTGGATGGCGGCGGCGGCGGGGGAGGCGGCGGCGGCGTCAGCGGCGAGGGCGGCGGCGGCGAGGGCGGCGGCGAGGGCGGCGGCGAGGGGTGCGGTATGGAGATGGCGGTGCGGTGCTGCTTTCGCGTGGTGCAGTCGAGGTTCGGGGCTGCTGCAGCCGCCGCTGCTTTGGTATGCCACACGGTGATGCACGGTGTGGTTTGGTACTCGAGGTTCGGGCTGCTGCAGCCGCCGGCGCGCGCGGGAGGCGTGCAGCCGCACCGAGGTTGCCATGCGGGCGGTGGCACGGCGGGTTTCGCTTTCGTCGTTTCTGCGGCGCGGTCGGTGTTGGAGGCCGAGGGACGCTTCTGAGACGCGCCCGAGACACGCCCGAGAGACTGAGCCGGCGTTGCGCCGTGCCGCAGGTGTCCCAAGGCGGCGGCAGGTCGCTCGATGCGGGCGGCGAGACGGGCGCGGCGGAGCTCGAGGCGCCGCTCGAGACGGGTGGACTGAGGGTGGGCTCGTGATGACTCGTTGTGAGCTATGGGTGGGGAAGGGATAGGTGCTGCTCGAGCATGGCTGGCTAGAGGCCGCCCGCTGGCTCGTCCCCTCTGCCGTGGGCCACGACACGTCCCGGACGCGTCCAAGACACGTCCCTCTCAGGCCGCCGAGTGGGTCGTCCCTCGGCGAGGACACGCCGCGCACAACGAGAGCGCGAGCAGCGCGAGCAGCGCGGGCGGCGCGGGCGGCGCGGGCGGCGCGGGCGGCGCGGGCGGGTCAAGCCACGGCTCCCGTTTGCCACTCCTGCAGACGCTGCCACACTTGCTCTGCCGTCCCATTGACCCGTTCGCACGCCCGAGCGACATCGCTGGCGGCGACGACGGCGCGGCTAGCAAGGCGAGGCACGCGCCCCCTCTTGAGAGGCTCCTCCGACGCGTCTCGGATCCGCGGCGCGTAGGTGCGTTCAGCAGGGCGCTGCAGCGGCGGCTGGGAGGGGCGGTCGACCGTCTCGTCCTGCTTGGTTTCACGCGCGAGAGCGGCCGCGCCACGGCGGGCGGCGGCGGCGGCGGGCTTGGAGGCGGCGGCGGCGGGCACGGTGGCGGCGGCGGAGGAGGCTGGAGGGGCGGGAGGCGTGCGCGGTTGGGGGCGTGTGCAGAGGGCCTTCCTCGGCTGCTGGAGATGCGGCTGACCATCGGCGCGGCGGTGGGGGAGGGGGAGGAGGCGGGCGAGGCGGGCGAGGCGGGCGAGGAGGGCGAGGAGGGGGGGGCGGCGGAGTGCGCGCCGAGAGCTCGACGCGGAGGAGGAGGAGGTGTGCTCCGTGTAGTAGGAGGGATGCGTGCAGACGGCCGTAGAGAGCACCCGCCCCTGTAGTGGAGCAGCCACCCCTGTTGTCCACGCGTTGACGTCCTCTCGGAGACGCGGCTAGCACGCCCCTCGCACACACCCTCGCACGTCCCAACCTATCCCCCCCCGCCGTGTCGATGGAAGGGCGTGTCTCCAGGAGTCGAGGAAGGTCGTGTGTATA